AGCACACCCGCACCTCGCAGCGTGCACACGCGTGTGCACACCCGCTCCCAGCAGCACACCCGCACCTCACAGCGTGCACATGCGTGTGCACACCTGCTCCCTGCAGCACACTCACACCTCACAGTGTGCACACGCGTGTGCACACACGCCCTCTGGGTGCGGGTGAGCGGGCTGAGCCAACTCCCACCTGAGACCAGCTCAGGAGCTCGAGGTTTCCCAATCTGGCCCAAAATGAGCTTTTTTTTGGGGTGAAAGGCGGGAAAACGTGGGGGGAGGCTGATCCCTGCGGGGTGCTGGAGCCAGAGGACCCCGTTGGTGACCAGCAACGTGACACGGAGCTGAACCATCATCAAGTTCCACGTTATAACAAGTATTGGGCAACTTTGTCACATGGAACCCACATGGAAACAACCAAAAAAAAGAGAAAAAGTTACGAAAATTCTATTTTTTTCCCTCAGTAGGAAACCCAAACCTCATTTCCACCTCCGAAATCGCGTTTAGTGGTGGCCCACGGCTGGCTGCAGCACCAAACCCACCGTTTCGGAGCTGGAAAATTCCCGGCAGGAGGCATCAAATCCTCTGGGATGCGGCTCAGCTCTGCCATCATCCACCCAAACCTCCCCCTCCTTGATGCCACCGTGGGAAATACCCTCATCCCGCTCCCGGGATGAACCATCGGGCAGCAAATCCCATATTTTGTCCCTTTTTATCCCCAAAAACGACGAAGCTTCGTTAACCAGAGCAAGAATCATCCTTTATTTAGGCTGTGCTCCCTCCGGAGAGCTCGGATTCCTGCTCAGGACCACGGAAATCCATCCCTGCTCATCCTCGGGAGGAAGAGCAGGGAGCGGGCACCCAGATCGTATAAATTAAGAAGAAAAAAGAAGGTTTTGGTGACGCCGGAGCGTCGGCCGTCGGTTTTTGGCTCAGTTGGGCAGAGGTTTCTCGCAGACGTAGTAGCACTCGTAGGTGCAGTAGACGTCGTTCCACTTCCCGGACAACCAGACGTGGGCACAATCCTCGTTCCTGCCGCTGTCATTGGGTTCTCCCTCTTTCCAAAAGCTGGAAGTGGGAGAAGGATGGAAGTGAGAGAGGGCAGGAGGAGCGGAGCGGAGTCCCCGGAGCTGGGAGAAGGGTTGGGATGAGCTAAATCTGTCTCGTTTGAGATGGTTTGAGGTGCTGATGTGATGCTGCGGTAGACCCGGGGGCGTGTGGGCAGCGAAGGTGCCCGTCGTTTTTTTGGGATGAAAACGCAAAGCAGGCGCCGGGTCGTTGACTCACGTGAACGTGGATTTATAGTCGGTCCCGTCAATCCATCTCCATTCCCCTTCGGAATTCTCGTCCGTCAGCCCGATCCAGAAACGCTCGTTCCTCGTCCTGAACATGATAAAATTCTGCAGCGGGGAGAGGGATGAGGAGGGAAAAACACCCAGAAACGGCACCTCGAGCCCGGCGTTGGCACCGGGGAGGAGCCGGACGGGCACAACCCCGCGCTTGGCTGCTCCGTTCAAGCATCCAGCACCGCGTGGAAGAGGAATTTTGGGATGCTGAGCCGGCAGCGGGATGGCAGAGCAGGGTCAGCCTGCTCTCTGCTGGCTGATGCAAAGGATAACAGCGACGGCGGGGCGCGCAGGGTGGCAGCCGGGGAGGTATCGGGGTGCTGCGGGCAGGATTTGGGGGTGCCAGGGCTTTTCCTGCCTGGAATCAGTTTTCCTGCCTGGAATCAGGGACTTTACCTGCTTGGCGAAGCTGTTGATGACGGCCAACTGCGAGTGCATCTCTTCGCACCAAGCCTTCGCCTTGTGCCAGCTCGTTCGGGTCAGGGAGAAGTAGTAACATTTTCCATCAAAGTATTCCCATTCCCTGGAGTTGGGGCCGCAGGGAAACACTGGTGGAAGAAAGATGAGGGAGAAGTCAAGGGGATGAGCTGGTCCTCGCCCGGATCATCCCAGCAAGAGGGTTTTCCCAACAAGGCTCCGGTGTCAAACTGGTGGAGACACGTTTGAGCTTCGCCGTGGATTGGATCGTCACGAAAGCGGCAACCGGTGCCCGAAAAAGCCTCTACCACAAGGAAAAATTGGGGATTTTTTCCTAAAATATAAGTGTTTGCTGCCAGGAAAGCTGCAAAGGGGACGGAGATGCTCTGCACCACCTCAGGGAAGCAATCCAGAGCGGGAACGTTTTGGGGACAATTTAGGGAAAGTTCAGAGGGGAAGAAAAGCTGGTGGGTGTGGGCAGCGGCCAGGACTTACACAGAGAGTCCCTGCTAGAAAAGTTCTGGTTCCATTCCGGGTGCACCTCGTGGAGTTTCGAAGAAATGGCCGAAACTGTTAGAGAGAGACGGAGAGATGTGGGGTGAGCGGTTGCGTTGCCACCCGTGCGCCAAGGGTTGCCACCAAGCACCTCGCCCTGGCAAGGGGACGTGTTTCGTTCTGGCTTCTTCATTCTGCTGGGGCTGCACTTTGGCAACAGCCTACAGGGCAACGAAATCCCAAAGAAAACTTAAAAGTGTGGAATCATAAGATCGTAGAAGGGTTGAGGTTGGAAAGAACCTTCCAGATCATCTT